ATTTAATCTAAATTTTAAATCTCAATTTTTGAATCAAATTTAAATTTAAATTTAATATTATATCAACTCAAATTCAATCGATTTCAGCTTCAATAGTAATCTTTTAAAAGGCCAAAGAGAAGCGTTGGCGGCCAAATAAGACCCACGTGGGAGTTTCCGTCAGCTGAAACGAGCAGTTTCATACCTTCATGGTGTGTTTTGAAAAACGTCAGCATAGCGTTGCCATGATGTGGGATGAAAGAACTTTTGATCACATCCATTAGTTTGACACGTGTCAAATTATGTCCATTGGATGGGATTACTTTACCAAAATGGACTCCAAGAGGTCCAGCATCTATGATATCCGAGAGCACCCAGATTTGGTTGGACAATTTAAAGTTCAAACCGACACAAGAATTATACGAATAAAAAATATAAAAATAATATAATTTAAAATTTTAATAAATATTATAAATAAATTTAATAAAATAAAAAATATATTTTTTATTTTATATTAATATAAATTATTATATATAAATTTTATATAAATATAATATAAATATATTAATTTTTAATATTTTATATGACACAAATATATAAATTATCAAATTTAATTTAAAGCATAATCATTCGATTACAAATATGATGGGACGGATATTCTCTTCCATATTGGTTTTTTAGGCATTGGCAAGTTTTGTTCTTTGCAATACATTAAGATTTAAATTTTAATATTTATAACTTTTTATCATAGATTTATATTATCATATCTTTTGTAATATATATATATATTATTTATGTCAATTTGAATAGATGTTAACATATACAATAAAAATGGAAATGATTGATTTTTTTTTTAAATTAGGAAAATGATAATAAATACTTTCTAGAAGGAAATAAATGAAGGGCATCTTTTTTGTAAAATCTCTTTTGATTATTTCTCAAAGAAAGGTACATGACCTAAACTAAAAGCCACTCATTGTACTAAACCAAAAACGAAGCATCAAAATCATCTAATCAATGACCATTAAAAACTAATTTAATTGCATTATTATGATTTTTTTTTTGTGAAATTCTTAATTTACTTTTTCATACCTTATTATTTACTTGAAAAAATATTATAAATATAATTTTTTTTTAAATTCGTAATCTTCAAATGATAACATTAATGACATATTAACTTATTAAAAAAAATCAGTAATCGCATGATTATGATTAACCATGAAAATTAAGCTCATGAGATTTCATGATAGGGCCATTTCCATTGTGTTGGCCAATAGATTTGGTTGGGGGAGGGGGTCCATAGGAATTTGTGGACCCATTTTGTGTGGTATTTTGGTGGTCTTAAAATCCAATGACATCATTGAAACAAAAGCATGACACAAGGACAAATCTCCTTTGAGTTTTTTTTTTTTTTTTTTTTTTGTTGATAATTTAAAAATAAAACCAAAGCCAAGTATTGTAAGAAAAAGACCTTATTTTAAACTTGAAAGCATATATGTCTGTCAAGCAACAACGCAACGTGTCGACTATGGAATCATTTAATCCTCAAACATCTATTTAAAACGGCATGTTTCACAATGATGATGTTATTATATTTTTTAGATTTATTTGAATTTCATCGCATAGAAATTATTATTAAAGTATGGTTTAATATTATCTTTGAAAATCATTTTTACGTTCAAAAGCAATTTTCGATTTAATCGTAATGTTAAAAAATAAAAATTTTTTTTTTTTTAATTTAAAAAGTTGATTTACGAATTAAAATAAAAAAATTCCAAAAAATATTTCACATGAAAAACTATATTTTGATTAAAAACTTTTTATATTTTTATAAATATTTTTTAACATTCAATTTATTGGAAGGGAAGGATCTAAAGAATAAATAATAAAGAAAAAAATGACAAAGGGATGGTAGATGAAATAGAAGGTTACGAGATTATTAAAACTAAAAGCATTATAGCTTAAGTGCCTTTAAGATTATCCGTGAAGAAGATTAAATTTAGATTAAGTCTAGTGATATTAAAAAAATGAAAGTACTATACTTTAATTTCACAATTTGATTAGTGGGGTTTGCAGTAGAAAACAGTTGAAATATGGGTGGCAATGGAAAATTTTCTTGATTCAAGACGAAGGATATTGTTGTCCTTAAGCACACCTTAACATTAAAGCATGAAGATAAGGTGAGAAAAAATTGAGAAAATTAAAAATTAATTCTAAATCATAATGTTCGTTTAATTTGATTTGAATGTTTATTTTTTATTCGATTTAAATTAAATTTAGATATTAAATATATATTTAATTCAAATCAATGAAAAAAAATTAAAAATTAAAAATCGATCGAAATCATAAATTCGTTCATTAATTTAGATCATTTTTTTATCGGTTTAGATATTAAATGTATATATTAAGTTTGGATCAGATTTCAGATCGAAATGTGAAAAATTAAAAAAAAAATCAAATCAAATTAATATATTTTTATTATATTTATATATTTTTAAATTTTTATAAATAAGAATAATTATTTAATATATAAATCTATTTAAATATATTAAAAATCCTATTAAAATAATATATAAAAATTTAAAAATTAATAAATCAAATCTAACTAAACAAATAAAATTTAGTTCAAATCAAATCGATTTCAAAAGAAAATCGATTGATTTCGAATCAAATTTTAACATTTCATAATATTATGTATTATACGAAAAAATTGAACCAAATTCATTTTAATTTATATTGTTATCACCCCTACACGAAAAAAGATCAATGGGTTTATAGATGCATTTTCTGGTAAGACAAATAGTTGTGTTGTGATGAGGACGAATGGTTGATTTGGCAACGAAGATGATTATTACAAAACGAACGATCAGGTCAATAACGTGCAAGAAATGAGAAAAAGAAGAATGCAAGGAAAGAAAGTAAATTAGAGAAAGCAAAAGACTCTTTGAGAATGAATTTATCTATGATCTAAACCTCATTTTCAATACAAAATTTGCACTTACATGATTAATTAACTTATTTGATATTAATCAAATGTTAAACCAATTAGCATGCTCTCTGACACGACAATCATCAACTGCTAACTTGACATAAATCAAGATATTGATGTTAACTTGACGATCAAGATTTTGATCGAACGATACAAAAGTACCGAGGTTGGTTGATTTCATGCCTTGATCGGTGTCATTACATATTTAGATTATCGAAAGAATAATTAAATAGTAAAAAATTGACCAAAACAACATAAATGCCTAGATTTATACAAACTTTTGTAATTAGCCGGAAAGTCTAATCAGGATCATGTATGTCAAATTGTAAGCAAAAGTAAAAACTTTCTCATTGATATAAAAAATATTTACTTGTATAATAGATCTTGAATAATAAAAATAATCAGTATACGTGTCCACATGAATTATAACACAACTTTCGTGTATAACACAATATAAATATACAAATTTTAATATTTTACAGAATATAAATACATGAATTACCAAATCTATAACAAAAGATTTCAACTCAGGAATACCTACTCAAACTCTCAGGCTTTTTAAAATTTTTTTCCCCTTTATGAATACTATACATTTTTTTTTCTCTGCTCTGCAAGGTTTTTCCCTTAGTTTCTCCATAGATTCTGATCTGATTAATAAAGAGGGGAAGAGAACTAACAAGAAATGGTGTTTGCTGCACGAACTCCGGCCGGCAACAAAAGCTTCAAGCTACTTGATCTTCAAGCAATGAGAGAAAAGGAAGGGGGCAAAATGGTTAAGAGCAGACAGACTCTTCTACAGATTCAAAACAGCAAGTACATGGCAAGAAGCGCAGCCATAAGCGGCACCATGACACAAGCAGACACTTGAGGCTGTCCATTTGGTGATGATGCTGGGGCTGTTGCAGTACCAGATGGACTTGAAGTTGGGGTGGTTTTTGTGGCAACAGGAGGCAAAGGGGGCTCACTAACATCTGCCTCATTCAGGTAGGGATTTGGAGCTTCAGCTGGTGGCAAGTAGTCAATTGTGATTAATTTCCAAAGGCTGCCAGGCTCAACGGGGCTCATATAACCAGGTGTTTTGTCGCCTCTGTTTAAGCATCGGTTCCCTACAAAAAGATTATCAAATCAACACCAATCCTATGAAAATTTTATAGCTTCTGCATATAACAGTGCCAACATTCAACCGGCAAGCACTTACTCTGGTATCTATTAGATGTTTTTGGGAAGTCTGTAATGACACCATCAATACCAGCTATAGTGTAGAAGGAATTGATCTCAACAGTTGCATCAGAAAAGTAGTCCCATGCTTGAGATACGAACTCATTACTGAAGGTTTGAACATATACAGAGAGATTAGCTTTATGTAGCCTTGGGACAACATCCGTAACACCAGTGATGAATGCTGTATTTTCAGGAAAGACAGAGTCCTTGCTAATGACCACAATGCTAGCAAATCTCTTAATGTCGTCAATTGCTGTACTCTCAGCACCACCGATATCTCCATCAACCTTGTAGACAAGTTTATAGTTGGTTTTACTCTTGAACTTCATTAGAACAGAGCTATTACTGGACTGGATCATAACTGTCTGAGCTGTCTGTTCATCATAGCCAGCTTTGCTCAAAGCATTAAGTACTGCATCAGTTAAACCATATCCCTGCTCTGCAAGGTAAGGAGCATTCTGAAAGGAATAAACAAGTCAAAAATCTTCACAAATATTCCTGTTATGTTGTCAAGGAAGAAACCATTTGAAATACAAATATTACAACATTTATAGCTAGCTCACAATAGCCGTTGATCCAAGATTTTTTTTCTAGATGTGTCCACTTAACACACACATATATATATATGTAAAATTGTGGGTGGATTTGCTAATTCTATCAACCAAAAGGGGCATCCAAGAAAAAATTTTGGAGGTGTCCCGGGAAAGTTTTTCCTTCAAATTTTCTTTTTGAGGTTTACAACTTTTGAATATGGATCCACCACTGGCTCACAAAAGAGGCTTTTAAGCAAATTAGAGTTTCAGGGGAAGGGAATTTTTTTTTTTAATCAAAGAAAGAAAAGAAGATTGGAATTTACTCACAGAATGTCAAGGAAAAATAGGGACACATGTAGATACCCAAGAAGATTTTGCTAACCATAGAGGGGAAATAATCATGAAGATTACACTTTTGCAGTATCTATGATTTTCTTACATTATTTTGCAAGTAAGTTCAAACCGAATATGATAGTTTAAATACAAGAAAGACATCCCACAAGAGACAAAACTTACATAAAAATTTTTTAAGTGAAGTTTGTGAAATTCTTTCTTAAAAATGATTTAATAAAAACTTTAATAAAAAAATCAAAACCAATAAATTGATAGAATTTAATGTGAAAATCAATCATACGTAAAAAAAAATTATTAAAAAAATTATTTATAATTCAAATTTTAACGACACTTATTCAACAGTAAAAATTGTCAATATTTTTACAAAAAATGTCTATTTAAAAATATATCAAAATTTATTAAAATATTTTTCTAATTTTGCACACTTGATTTATGTAACAAAAATTTTTAATCTATCAGTTTTGATTTTCGATTTTAGTTTTTATTTATTAGTTTCTAATTGAAAACTTCACAAACTTCACATAAGGAATTTCATCTATGTCTTTCCCTCCTACGAGATAGGTTTATCTGGATCTCAACATTTGGAAAACAAAGGAATGATCTTTAAATCTCAAGTGATATTCAGTTATGATGAGAGCATTAAAAGTTTTGGAAACCCTAGAATTAGCGAACTTTAGAGTGATTTAGGCAATGTATCTACAGATGTCAAGTTCATAATGGTGGCAGTTTCTTATGAAACTACATTTCTATGTTTCTTTGACCATTTGGTTCAATATATTTCTACATGGCATAACCCACAGCTACCATAGTTATGATTAAGACTCAATCTGATATGTTTCTCGGAATAATTAGGATACCAAACAGTACCCACCGGCACAGCAGATAACCATAGTTGCCATTCACAGTGCCTAACCTCTTAACATCCATCATTAGGTTCAATAATGCAAGTAGAAAATAAAAATTACGGCAGTAAACTCCAATGCAAGAAACTTGAAAGTTGAATAGGAAAAGTATAGAATGGCACGAACTGACCTCTATGCTGATTAAGACACCATAAAGAGAGCTAGCATTCTTTGCCATGGCTAAAAAATCATCTAAAGTTAAGAACTTCCCAGAATTTTTGAACTTCGGATTTCGAAACAATTTGTAAGCTGACTGTGGGCTTGATATTACAGCTACAATGAAAGTAATGATAGATTACAAAAAAATTAATGCCAATTATATCTATTTAAGAAACAGCAAGACGGCTAAATCTCAGCAACTAAAACACAGACTTAGATGATAAGGCAAAGTAAATAAAACTGACATAGTATGCACGGAAACATTATCTCCCAAAGCAGGGATTTTAGTCATGCTCCTCGAACAAGGTTATGGGTAACAATCTTTCAAGCACAGAAAAAAATTTGAGGAGGAGCACTCACAAAGCATCAAAAATACCCACTCAACATAATGTACAAAATTCAATCTTTATTGAGTTAGACAACTTTTATTTTCAACATGTTATGTTTCGAAAACTATTAGAGACTATAGATGACATCCCACCCATTCCAAAAGAAAAAATAAAACAAAGCAAAAGTTCAGTACAATAAAGAACAAGCAAAATGAGAACTAAATTCAACTTACGTGTCAAGTTTCGAATATCAATCCATGACATGTTGAAGGTAAATATTCCACTGCCTTGCGTAATCTCTGGAATTGTTGTTGTAAGATTGCTAAAACTTGATTGAGCAACTGTTGTGCTATCTATCAGATTTATAGAGCCCAAGCAAATAGGTGTTCCATCCTTTGTCATTTGAACAGGACAGTCAAGAACATCTACACCATCTTTAATTGCTTTTAAATATGCCAAGTCAGTACAACCAGGAAAGTCTCCACTTGCTCCATTTTTTGAGATGACCAAAAGGTTCACTGTAGCATGCCGACAAAATAAAATACGTTATGATAAACCTTAAAACGATTGTTGGTGCCTTGAAACTCATAATCTCATGACTGTTACCACTAACTCTCAAAAAGAAAAATAAGATCTTTTGATCAGAAGCATTGTATAATGACACACCTTGTTTTGAAGCATTTTTGCCTAGATGAGCAAAGCAATCTGCAATATGAAACAAAAGTTAGCATCTCATCGAAAATGGTTCTTATCCATTAGCAGCAAAGGATAATGATATCTAGTAAAAACCAGACAACATTTCTTTCAGTAATCAGTCTAAGTTATTGTGTAGGGCATGTCAGGCCACAACAGTAAAGAGAGATAGAAAAGGCAGACATAGTTTCGCTTCACCTTCTTATTCATATGATGCAACTACAGCATGAGGCAACCAAGGTGAAAAAAAAAAGTGGAAGATTCTTAGGTGCACCCTGTTAGTCGTACAGCAGGATATACTCCCTAATTTGTGAAAACTACAAAAATTTGGAAGACATTTCCAAGATGGCAGCACAAGTCAATCAGACAAGTAAGGCTCAATAGGAATAATGAGAATTTCACCATAATTTAAGTTAAAAAGTAAATAACATTTTATAAGATGCAAAAACAAATTGAAGAAATATACGAGAACTGACATTGCATATACAAACTGGTATATAACTTACCTATAGCTGCTGATGGAGATAATGGGAAGTCGGATATCAATCCATCAACAGAGAAGTTACCATTGTCAACAAACTGAAGATACTCAGCCACTGGATCGTAGGAGTAATTGAAGCTAAATGGAACATCATTATAAAAGTCAGATGCAAAAACTTCTAGCCCTTCTTTGTGAGCATCCAAGACAACAGAGGTAGAAGATAGCAAATAAAGATCTGCATCTACGCGCCAGATATAAGACTTGGGTAAAATGATTCCAGAGGCAAATGTCTTGATAAATGTGAGATTTTTTAAGAGAGAATCATAAGTCTGGTTGGTTGAAGGCTCCACCTCTTTCTGTCCTAGAAACCGGAAGACAAGCTTTGTTGTGCTTCTTCGGAAACGTGCTGCAATACTTTGCAAGAAAGCCACCTCCGGTGATGAGATATAGCCAACAGTTACATTCACATTTCTTGTTACAGAAAGTATAAAGTTTTTCATACTCAGGTTGTGTTGTGTATAGAACGCATCATGCTGCAAAAATAGAAAAGCATTCAATTAAATCCAAAAACAGGAAGATGAAGTTATACTAATTTAATACCGGGATAAGAAGAGACAAGAGTGAAAAAGTAAGACAAAGGAATTATTAAGCATTGATTAATCCTATACCTGAATATTCAACCAAAAACCAGGAGGTTGTAAATTTGAAGATATATCCTGAACAGTCATAATTGGATAACCATTGCCATCAAGCTTATTGGAACGAGAATAGACACCTTGAGTTACTGTCCAGATAACAAATTGCACATTAGAATGTGATACATCAAACAAATAGCAGAAAGCACGAAGAATTTACTACTAGAGCATTTCAAAGCAAGTCAAGAAACAAACTTACTGAAAAAACATGCTGAATCTCAATAGGTAATAATGTTGACATGACTGCTAGCACAAGCATATCAGAATTCAGAATTAATTACCTAATTAATTGCAAAATTGCTTGAACTGGGTTTTTAATGGTCAGTGTTTGATGATTCAAAACTAAAACTTATTTTGACACCATTAGATGAACTTGGCACTCACAAGTTCATTAACCATACATCAAGCAAAGTTTATGAAGATAATGATAATAATGAGAATGGCGACAAACACAAAAGTAATGAATGATATCAAGAACATTGATGATGACAGGAAAAAAAAAAAAACACAAAGAGGATAAATTGTTAGCTGAACTTACAAGAAACATTTCCTAGATCCTTGAGAGCGTAATCAACAGAAAACCATCCCTTGGTAGAGACGCCATTAACAAGGTAAGCCTTCTGCCCATGCGGGTAAATATGTGCAATGTCAGAATTATTATCCAGATTAAGATCAGGAAAGCAAATCCCAGCTGCATCTTTTGTTAATTGCACATCACACCACAAGATTGCATCAGGTAGACTAGTTGATAAAGCGAAGCTATAAGCTATGAAACTAGAGTCTGGAAATATTCCAGAAAATCCACCACGTGCTATGACAAAGGGTGCATTCCCTGCAAAAGGAATCAAATAGTTTAAGCTTATTGAACAACAGAAAATTAAAAAGTAAAACGAACTTTACAAAATCTTTGTCTGATATGAATGCTAATGTTAAATGCTTTTATGTATCTATAGACTGAAATGTTGTAGCTCACTATGCTGACAGGTGAGGATATCGAAATTTTAACCTGCCCTGAAGAACGTCTACTTCTCATATTGTAAAATGTTGGAATATATCGTATTTGCTCTTCATCAATGTTCTTCATAACCAAACAAATTTTAGCAAAATTTTTAGTTAATTATGCTATTCAAGCTGTTTGGTAGAGAAAAAAAAAAGCCAAACTGTTAATAAAGAACAAAATCCCATTATAGTTTAAGAACGAAGACTCAAAATAGAAAGCAAAAATATTCAAAGAAGTAAATCATGAAAGACTTGAAGCTGCATTTTCCATCAATTTGTTTCACTTTCTCATCAACAAAAATTGAAAATTTTTAACTACTGAATAGATGAAATAAATAGAAAATTTGTAAAAAGAAAAGGGAAAGATTTCCACTTTGAGTAAGTTGGAAATCATTAAAACACGCGTTTTTTATCGTTTCTTCAACCTTTTATAGGAATGAAAGAGAAATTAGACAAAATTTTCTTTCTTTAAGGAAAAAGGAGAAAATCTGAAAAGCTTTGTCTTTCCTCCGCTTTCTTTGCAAACAAACGGAAAATATTAAATATTTAAGAAAAAAAAGTGAAGCTCCAACTAGCATAGTTTGAACAATCTTCTCACCATTTTATTTTCCTGGAAACCAAAGATAAACTAACTAAAATCCAAACAGCTCAAGTAGCTCGAAGTAAGCTTAGATTGAGCAATTTTCTCATCATTTCCTTCACTTTCGAGGAAACCAAACAAAAACAAGCTTACAATTAAGCCAAACACAGGAAAAATCGAACATGTTTCCAGCTCAACAAGCCATTTCCTCAACATTTCCTCCTCCTTCTCATCAACCAAACAGAAAACTAACTAAAAAAAAGAAACTATAACCAAAAGAAAATAAATTTATCTCATCAATTGATTAATTTATAAAAGAAAACAAAGAAAGAATCTAAATAAGAGAAACCCACCGCTTAGAGTCTGCCAACGAGAACGAGTCGATCCCTGAGCAGAAACCAAAGCTACTGAAGCTAACAAAGCTTGAACTACCAAAATGGCAACCGAAATGCCACGTAAGCTTCCCATTGCCGGTAAAATCTCCTCCGCTGACAACCGAGCTCAGCTCCGCCACTGATCTCCGCCGTCTGTTTGTTCTTTTCCTTCGTTAACCGTACAAGATTTAGAGAGAATTGAGGAAAACACTGAACTTTTAGGCTGGCTTTGTTTTTACTGGTTTCAGATATTTATATTATTAAAATTTAATATTTTTATCCAATTAAATGAGTTTCTCTCGACCGAATTATACGTTGTCGTCAGCTCGGCTCCAGCCGGTCTGAGGAAGGTTCTTGGCTTAGAGGTTTTTGTCCTAAGCTGTGGGACAATGATTGAGTGTGACAGCCTCCACAGTGTTACCATGATCCCTAAAATTTTAAAGTTGAGCTTTTTTTTTTTTAATTTATTTAGATATTTAAAGGTGAATTTGTATTTAGGAAAATAAAAAGAAAATTATTACAAGAATAAATTTAAAGTTATATGTCATTGTTTATGGTTACTTTATTTTTCCTTGATAATGGGATGTAATTAAAAAAAATTAGTTACAAGTCTGATATAGGTATGCAATAAACCAAATATGAATATACTTTATTTGTTTGTAATATATTAATTTAATTAAATAATTTTAAAATGTTATTCATGATATTTTTAAGCTCAAAACGAATATAAATAAATAAAAATAGAATATGTTAACAAACTATTCATCAAATGTTATGTTCGTTTATACATTTGAATGTAAACGAATTTAATATGAATAAATTTTGCTATTTTCGTGATTTATTCATTTAATTAATAAATTCTAAAACGTTATTCGTAATAATTTGTTAAGTTTAATAAACAATATAATCAACCAAAAAATGATTTTATTCGTGAATTGTTTGTCTAACATTTGTTTTGGTTAACACTCATAATCTTGTTACAATAATAGAATAGTAATTTATTGTGATATGTACCCTCTAAATAAAATATTTCTAACTAAAGCAACAGTATGACTTAGAACCACTTTTTTTTCAACTTAGGGTAATTAATTTTATTTGTTGGCCTTGAATTGATTAAGAATTTTGATTTGATAAAACAAAAATTTGTCTAACTTGAATCAATATTTTCTAAGCTTAAATTGAATATTTTTCTACCTTTTTATCTTGCCAAAATTCATTTGAGAATCAAAACAACTCAAATTCTTGAAACAAACATGATTTATGCAAGTTTTGATATAAGGGATCGATCCCCTAAGGGAAGGGATCGATCTTCTTCTTACCAGATCGATCCCCTAGCAAAAAGAGATCGATCATGTCTTCATCCAGAATTGAAAGTTCTCAAGTTTTGATAAAAATCGATCGATCCCCTCCCTATAGGGATCGATTGGTTAGGGTTTCAAGCTGAACGGACTGATCTTCTCATTTAATGGATCGATCATTTTTTCATACAGAAAGTCTTCATCATGTAATTTTTCAAAAAATGGATCGATCACCTAAGGCAAGGGATTGATCCCCTCTTAAAGATTGGTCGGTTGCTCAGACAAAATATTTTCCAAGTTCAAAAACCCAGAAAAGGGATCATTAGATTATTTTCCCAATTAAAAACTAGAAAAAGGTTTATAAAGAATCGTCGGTAAGGACTTTTAGGCAACAAATTGATGCATTCTCTAAGCATGAAATACGATCCCTATGAATAAGTCTGATTCTGAGGTAAAAATTAATGGCTTTTTTTTGTCTAAATATTAACAGTGAAGCATTAATCTATGAAATGCTTAACTCTTCTACCATAAATTACGATTTCATAAAAAGAGTCAGAGCCAAGAACTTATTCCATTACTCATTTCTTAGCATCAAATGTTTAGTTATAAAGTGCATGATTTCAGTAATTTTTCTTTTTAGTATACCATTACTTAAAATTAACAAAACTCATTTGAGAGTTTTTAAAGTTGATAAACATTATATATTTTGTATTATGAGATTTAAAAGCTTAAGGGGAGGATAACCTTTAAGAGTATATTGTGTTGAGTTTGTAAAGCTTAGAGAAGCTTGGTTGTAATCTTCAGCACTTATAATGGATTGAACTCTTTGGCAAGAGAGGCTAAGGAAGAGGACGTAGGTGCTTAAGAAAGGACCGAATCTTTATAAATCTCGGTGTTATATTCTCTATCCCTATCTCTCATTTACTTTTAATTATTGTGTTTAATTGTTTAGCAAAATTTATGTTTATTGAATATTGTACTTTAAAAATTTATTAAAAACTAATTCACCCCCTCTTGATTTACTCCAAATCTTTGAGCTAACAATTGGTATCAGAGCTAGTACTTTTTTTGTAGGTTTAAAAGCTTAAGAGTGATCTTGAAAATGACTCAAAAAAATATGAAAATCAATGTGGAAGAACCATTCTCAAGCTACAACAACTATACTGACTAACAAGAGGTGTGTCTCATGGTAAATGAAACAATTGCAACATCTTTTGAAAATGAAAGGCATTCAATTGTTAGACCCCTTCTTTTGCTGGTGACAACTACTCCTATTGAAAGACTAGGATGAAGTTGTTCATTTAAGCTAATGATTATAAAGTCTGAAGGGTCATTGTAAATGATTTTCAAATTTCAATAAAGGTGGTGGATGGTAGGGAGGTGATCAAGCTAGAGAGTGAATGGGATATCAATGACATAAAGATGGTTTAACTTAATTCCAAAATAATGCATACATTCTTTTGTGTATTGAGGTCAAGTGAGTACAATAGAGTTTTCTTGTATGAAAACACACAAAAAATTTAGGATAAGCTAGCTATTACTCATGAAAGTATCAACCAAGTGAAAGAGATGAAAATTGACATGCTCACTCACGATTATGAGCTATTCAAGATGAAACCAGATGAAACCATTAGTGAGATGTCAAACTGCTTTATCAACATCATTAATGATTTAAAGGCTCTTGAAAAGACTTACTCAAATGTAAAAATGGTGAAGAAAATTTTCAATAATCTACCAAAGAGTTGGGAAGCCAAGGTGACAATCATTGAAGAGTTCAAAAACCCTCAGACATTTTTTTTGGATGAACTAATGGGCTCTCTCCTCATTTATGAAATAAAAATTAAAAGAAGATAAAAATCGATCAAGAAAGGTGGCATTACTTTCAAATCTACCTTTTAAAAAGATGAAAAAAATTTTGGATAAGAGAAAGATGATGAAGATAAAGAGATGGCCATGTTTACAAAAAGATTCAAGAAGTTCATGAGGATGAACAAGTTCTCTAACAGAAAAAGACCACAAAAGGAGATGATTAAAGGGGAATCAAGTAGAAGAGAAAGAGACCAAAATATTTACTATGAATGTAATAAATCAAATCACATTAAACTTGATTGTCCTTTGTGAAAAAAGTAAAACATGATAAAGTCAAAGAAGAAAGCTATGATAGCAATATGGAGTGATAGTACTTTATTCAACGATGAATCAAATGAAGAGAAAGTAGCCAATCTATATCTCATGGCTCTTGATGAGTCCAAGGTGGATGAGTATTGCTACAAAGCCAATTTAAGCAAGAACAATCCATGGTACCTTGATAGTAGATGCTCAAAATACATGACCGGGGATAAAACTCTTTTTAAAAACTTTAAAGCTAAAAGTGAAGAAGATATTACATTTGGTAACAACTCTAAAGGCCAAATTAAAGGGATTAGCTCAATTGGTAATAATTCTTCTACTACTATTGAAAATATTTTACTTATGAAAGGACTCAAGCATAACTTGTTTAGTATTAGTCAATTGTATGATAAAGGATTTAGGATTGTGTTTGAATCCATATGTTGTTAAGTAATTGATATCAAAACTAACAAACTTATTTTTGTTGGACATCGTCAAAGAAATATTTATGTAATACATCTAAATGTCCTATCTTCTAAAAATATTTATTTTATAGCCCAAAAAAATTAAAAGTTGGATTTGGCATAGAAGGCTTGGACATGCAAGTATGCATGTAATTTTAAAACTTTCTCAAAATGATTTGGTTGTTGGTTTACTAAAGTTGAAATATGAAAATGACAAGGTTTGTGATGCATGTGCTCAAGAAAAACATAGAAGAACTTCTTTCAAACCTAAGAATTGCATTTCAACTACTAGAACCCTTCAACTATTTCATATTAATCTTTTTGACCCTACTAGAACAATGAGTCTTGGTGAAAAATAATATGAGTTTGTTATTGTTAATGATTTTACTAGATTCACATGGGTTCTTTTTTTACATTCAAAGAATAAGGCTTTGGAAAAATTCATCACTTTTAGCAAACAAATACAAAATAAAAAAAAGCTATTCAATTACTAGTATTAGAAGTGATCATGGAAAGAAATTTAAAAATCTTGGCTTTAATGTATTTTGTAGTGAAAATGGTATTAGCCATAACTTTTTTGCTCTTAGAACTCTTTAACAAAATGGGATAGTGGAAAGGAGAAATAGAACTTTAGAAGAAATGGCTAGAATCATGCTTTGTGAAAATAATTTACCTAGATATTTTTGGGCAGAAGCTATAAATACTTATTGTTATATTATAAATAGAGCTATCATTAAGCCAATTTTGAAGAAAACCCTCTATGAGGTTTTTAAAGGAAAAAAGGCCTAACATAAGCTATTTTCATCCTTTTGGCTGTAAATGCTTTATTTTGAACAATGAAAAAGATGATTTTAGTAAATTTGATGCAAAAAGTGATGAAGAGATTTTCCTAGGATATTCTTTGAATTCAAAAGCTTATAGAGTTTTTAATAAATGAACATTAGTGGTTGAAGAATCTATACATATTATTTTTGATGAATCTAACCCACTTTCGAGAAAGGTGCTTCTTGATGATAATGATGTAGGCATACTTTAATAAATGATCAATGATGCACCTCATGATATTGAAGAGAATAATCAAAAGAAAGATGATGAGTTTTTAAAAGAGCGACAACACATAAAGAGAGAACCAAATCATCCTAGAGAAAGGAGGTATGTCAAAGATAATAAAATCATTGGTGATCCTACTCAAAGGGTAAGAACTAGATCCTCTTATAATGTATGTAATTATGTTACTTTCCTATCTCATTTTGAATCCAAAAATATAGATGAAGCCTTAAGAGATGATAATTGGATATTAGCCATGTAAGAGGAATT